TCCCGAGAGGAGAATGGAGGAGAAGGGATTGTGGTGTGACCATCCCCCCGGGGGGTGATTTCTCGCTTTCTGTCTGTATGTCTCTCTCTCTGTCTGTCTGGCGAGTGCATGCACCCTATAGTGAAAATCTCTCCAAATAATAATAATAATAATAATAATAATAATAATAATTTTTAATTTGCCAGAGGACATGAATACTTGCTAGAGAAAGTGAGAAAGCAGCCCCCATTGGGGAAGGCCATGTAGCAGTCCATTTCTTCTTTTGAGGTTATGGGTACACGTATACACATGCCTGGGGTGTTTTTCATGCTGCTGGGATTTGAACTGCTGGGTCAGCCATGTGGGATCCAGGTGCCTTAACCTTCATACCACCTGCCAGCCTGTTTCTTTCTTTCTTTTTTTTTTTTTTTTTTTAATATTTGCATGCACTCCTGAGAGACAGTGAGACAAAAAGCAAGAAATCAGCCTTTATGGGGGATAACCTTGCAGCAATCCCTTCTCCATTCTCCTCTCAGGATTTGGATCATGCACACACACACATAGCTGGCCTGAGTTTTGTTTTGTTTTGTTTTTTGTTTCCTTAGTTTAAGAGAAATTTTTGTTATAGAGGTACGTGCCCTTGCCAGACAGAGAGACAAAAACTAAGAAATCACCCCATGGTGTGGGATGGCCTCATCTCCTCCTTTCTCCTCTCAGGATTTTGGGCATGTATACACACACGCCTGTTGTGAGTTTTAACCAACCAGTTCCAGGACTTGAACTGTGGTTGACTACATGGGAGTCCAGCAACATAACCACTGTAACATCTGCTGGTCCCCAGCTGGCATGAGTTTTGAACTGTGACTGACTACGTGGGAGTCCAGTAACGTAACCATTAAGTCATCTGCTGTTCCCAGTCTGAATCTTTTTAAATTTAAGAGATTAAAGAGACATGCCCCTGAAAGCAAAAGGCAAATATGATCCTGAAAAAACATGTTCTATAGGATTGTCTTCAGGACAATTGTTGAAATTCGCACATGAATTATGTATTAGATAAGTGTTTCACTGTTCTTTAATTTTATAATTGCACTGTGTTTATGAAAGAGTAACCTCATTTTTTTTTTAAGAGAGATTTTTGCTATAGGGCACATGTGTGCACTAGAGAGCAACAAAATGAGAAATCATGCCCAGGAGGGATGGTCACACCACAATCCCTTCTCCTCCATTCTCCTCTCAAGATTTTGGTCATGCATGCACATGCTCCCAGCATGAGTTTCAAACCTCCGAGTTCGGGACTCAAACTGCGGTCGACTACATGAGTCCAGCAACATAACTATTACGATGATCCTGAGAGTAACCTCATTATAAGAAGTATTTAGGGATAAAAGTTCATTATTTGCAACTTACTGTCAAATGATTTAGCAAAACATAGGCAAATATGGGAAAATGTTAAATGATAAGTCTAGGTAAAGTGTATATGATAGTACATTATATTGTTTTTGCAACCTTTCTGTAGTTTTAGTTTTTTAATGAAAATATATGTGCATAAATGTATTTATCTTATTTTATTTTCTTAGTGCAAGACTGGCTCTGACTCTTCACTGCTCACTGTGCTGCTGTCTTCCACTCTCGTCAAAAAGTACTTATTGTGCCATGAGGTATGTTGTCTGCAAAAGCAAGGGGAGACGTAGGAGCAAACAGTAAGACTGACCAGATTTCTGGATTGATAAGAGTGGTATATAAGGGTTCTTGTAACCAGACTAGAAGACTACTTATGTCTTCCAGTTCAAAATAATTTCCAGTTTCAAATAGTTCTACATTTTGCCAATTAAATAGATGTTTTAATTTTTCTGAGGGTGAATTCCTTTGGGACTCGGATGAAAGTTCTACTCCAAAACCAGAAAATATATATAGGGACCCATTAGAGTTAACAACTTCCTTCTGTAAAATACACCTTTTAAACAGAAATTGACTAATTTCTATCTGATTATTTCAACCAATAACCAGTCTAACCACCTACTTGCACAATTTGGGAATAAGAATTGATTTGGGGTTAGGAAGAAGAAAAAGGGGTGACAGAGAATATCAAAAGGTTTTTGAAAAACCGAAGTTGAGTGTGTTTGTACTAAGAGCCCAGAAGTTAGAGAAAGGGTGATCAGAGACAGGAGTGAGATAGAAGAGACTGTGCCTAAGCCCAACCTTGCCCTTGTCGAATGCACTGAGTGTGCCACTGAAAATAGTGGTAGGTGTAAATGTAACCCCCTGAAGAAATACATGTGGACTAAGAATACTCCAATCTCCAAGAGTCAGTTCTATTTCCTTTCTTTAAAGATCTTCTCTCTCCTACTCCAACCCACTTATATGTCTCTTACATGCTTTTGCTTCCAATGAAATGGTAGGTATGTACTTTTCCACCTTTTACTCTCTCTTTCTCTTCTCTCCTTTCACCCTACACACATACACACTCCTTCCTCCCACACTCTACCCTCAGGAATAAAGAATAAAAGATAAAGAAGGAGGTGGAGAAGAAAAGAGAATTTCATATAATTCCCATATTTGTCATCTCTGATTCTAGTTATCAGTGGGGTAGAGCTCTCTAGTTGCCAAATTTCCTATTTGTTTGACCTTTAAAATGAATTATTCCCATCTGATTGTGATGAGTTCATTCTATTTGCTATTGAGTTGATTTAAGAAATGTTAATATAACACTTCAAAAAGCAAAAGAGTACACACACAGAAGAAAAATGGCAAGAGACTGAGATAAGAATTACTGTAACTCTATAACTTAACTGAGAATAAAGTGGAACTTAGAAATAAAAATGTGGGATGAGGAGAGGAGTTACCAAAGAGGAAATGAAAGAGTGATCTGAAATTTAAGGAAAGAAAACTTCATGGTTCACAGCGCTGTACATACTTTGCTGAAACAGCCTGTGAGCTTGAAAAACAAGATATGTACCATTCATTTCCTTGATGGTGAACATCTATATTTTTACTTTTGTATTATTTCAGGACTAGATGAAATCTTTATTAGGTAACTTTATTAGGTAACTTTACTTAGAAAAAATAGATGAGGGACCAGCAGATGGTATAATGGTTACATTGTTGGACTCCCATGTAGTTGACTGTGGTTTGATTCCCAGACCTGGAGGCTTAAAACTCACGCTGGGCACGTGTGTGTACCCCAAATCCTGAGAGGACAGTGGAGGAGAAGAGATTACAGTGTGGTCATCCCTCCCTGGGGAGTGATCTTGCTTTCTGTCTCTTTGTCTCTCTGGCAAGAGCATGTTCCCTATAGCAAAAATCTCTCTCTAAAAAAAATATAGGTAACAGTACAAAACTAAAATTAATATTTTGCCTCTTTTTTTGGTAAGGTTTTTGCCATAGCACGTGTATGCTTGCCCAGAGAGGCAGAGAGAAACAGTGAGAGTGAGAGGGAGAGTGAGAAATCATACCCCAAGGGGATGGCAATGCTGCAGTCCCTTTTCCTCCATCTTTCTCTTGGGATTCTGGGCACATACGTGCACTTCGTTTGAGTTTCAAGCTGCCAGATTCAGGACTCAAACTGTGATCGGCTATGTGGAAGTCTAGCACCTTTGCTTCTTATATTAACAAAGGCAGGAAATACATGAGAAAACCCATATTACTGACCCATGTTAATTCGAATTACATCTTATTATGTATTCATTTCATATTCATGAAATAATCATTAGTAAGTCTAGTTGATGAACATTTGAGTGCCACTACTTGTAAGTTACTATTAATGGAAATAAATTAGTGGGTTAAGGTTATTTAAAGAAAACTTTCTTTGGCACTTTCATTTTATTCGTTTGTTTTTATTTAAAACAGAGATTGATTTTTTTTTTTTTTAAACAGAGATTGATTTTTGACAAGGTCATGTCATGTTGCAATCCTCTTGTCCCAGCCTCCCAGTTACCTGGACTGTAGGCATGCCTGCTATAGGCAGCCTTTTCAGTTTCATGTGGGAATTGAACCTAGTCCTCCCATGTGACTTCAACATCAAAGTATCAGCGTCTTAACACCATGCGTCACCACAGCCGAGTCTCCTTTTACTTAAAACTGACTTTATTGAAGTGTAGTTAATATACAATAAATATAATTTGATTGATTTGAATATATGTTTACACCCATGAAACCATCACCACACTCAAAGTAATAAACACATCTATCACTTCTCAAAGTTTTCTCCTGCCCCTTTTTTTGTGTATCTGTATGTGTTTGTGTGGTAAGAATACTTACTTAGTTACTTGAAAGCAACTATCTTGGGGCCTGCAGGTGGCATGGTGGTTAAGATGTTGTACTCCCACATGGTCTGCCATGGTTCAAATCCTAGACCAAATAGCTTGAAAATCAAACTGGGCGTGTGTGTACCCAAAATCACAGGAGAAGAATGGAGAAGGGATTGTGGTTGTGGCTACCCCCTGGGAGGCAATTTCTCACTTTCCCTCTCACAGTCTCTCTCCAGCAAGTGCATATGCCCTATTTGTAAAAATCTTTAAAAAAAAAGTCAGACTCTCTTAAATTTGTCAGTGTATCATAACTGTATGAGGGATCTTCAAAAAATTAATGGAAACTGTATGTTATGAATAAACTATGCATGAATTTCAATTTTTTGGCACCCAAATCATCTTGCCATTTTTCTACAACCTATTGAAGTCCCCTCATATCACTAACTTTAAGTACTACCTTGTTCAGCAGACCTCTAGAACTTACTCATCTTGCATAACTGAAACTTTTTTTTAAGAGATTTTTTTGGTGTAGGGCGCATGTGCTTGCCAGAGAGACAGAAAGCAAGAAATCACTCCCAAGGGGGATGTCCACACCATAGTCCTTTTCTCCTTTATTCTCCTCTTAGGATATTGGACACAAATGCCTGGGATAAGTTTCATGCCTCCGGATCTGGGACTTGAACTGTGGTCAACTATGGGGGAGTTCAGCGACATAATCAGTATGCTATCTGTTGATCCCTCATAACTGAAATGTTATATCCATTGACAACTCCCCATTTCTGCCTCCACATTTCTGGTGGCAATCACCATTCTACTCTGTTTCTGTGAGTTTGATCACTTTAGATACTACATATAAATGGGAATCATGCAGTATTTTTCCTTCTGTGACTAGCTTATTTCACTTAGCATAATATCTTCTGGGTTCATCCATGTTGTCACATGTGACAGGATTGTTTTCTTTTTTTTTTTGGGAGAGGTTTTTGCTTTAGGGCGCATGCGCTCGCCAGAGAGACAGAGAGATAGAAAGCAAGAAATCACCTCCCAGAGGGGTGAGGCCACACCGCAATCCCTTCTCCTCCATCTCCTCTTGGGATCTTGGGCATGCATGCACACGCTCCCGGTGTGAGTTTAAGCCACCAGGTCCAGGACTTGAACTGCGATCGACTACATGGGAGTTCAGCGACATAGCCATTATGCTAACTGCTGGTCCCAGGATTGTTTTCTTTTTTAAGACTGAATAATATTCCATTGTATATATGCAGTATAGCACATTTTCTTTCCCATTCATTTGACAATAGATATTAAATTGTTCCCATATCTTGGCTATTGTTAATAATACTGCAGTGAACATAGGAATGCAGATATCTTTTTTTTTTTTTTGAGAGATTTTCACTGTAGGGCGCGTGCGCTCGCCAGACAGACAGAGAGAGACATAGAGACAGAAAGCGAGAAATCACCCCCCAGGGGGGATGGTCACGCCACAATCCCTTCTCCTCCATTCTCCTCTCGGGATCTTGGGCACGCACGCACACGCGCCCGGCGTGAGTTTTAAGCCACCGGGTCCGGGACATGAACCACGGTCGACTACGTGGGAGTCCAGCGACATAGCCATTACGCTAACTGCTGGTTCCCAGGAATGCAGATATCTTTTTGAGATCCTGATTTCAATTCCTTTGGATAAATACCCAGAGTGGGATTGGTGTATCATATGGTAGTTCTATTTTTAATTTTTTAAAGAATCTTCATACTGTTTTACATAATGGTTGTACTGATTTACATTCTCATCAGTAGTGCTCAAGGGTTTCAAATTTTCCACATCCTTGCCATTGCTCATTATCTTTTGGATTTTTTGTTTTGTTTTGTTTTGTTTTGGTAATATCCATGCTGAAAGGTTTAAGATGATATCTCCTTGTGGTTTTGATTTGCATTTCCATGATGATTAGTGATGTTGAGTACATTTTCATATACCTGGCCACAGCCATTTGTATAACTTCTTCAGACAGATGTCAATTGAAGTCCTTTGCCCATTTTTCTTGTTTCTTTTTTCTTTCTGTTTTTGCTATAGGGCACATGCACCTTCAGTAGATACAGTGACAAAAAGAGAGAAAGGAATTGAGAGAACAGTCTCCAGGGGGATGGGCACACCACAATCCCTTTTCCTCAATTCTCCTCTCAGGATTTCAGCACACATGCACATGCACCCTGTGTGTTTCCCAAGCCACCAGATCTGGAACTTGAACCGCATGGTTGGCCATATGAGATCCAGCTACCTCTGCTACCATGCCACCTGGCCAGCCCCAGCTTTGCCCATTTTCTAATCAGGTTTTTTGGTTTTTTTTCAAGTCAGTTGTATGAGATTGTGTGTGTGTGTACACCTCTTATCAGATACATGCTGCACAATTTTTTCTCCC